ATCCTATACCAGAACAGACAAATGGATGGTAGATGTTCTGCTGTCTGTGCTTTTCCTTTCTTCCCCTCTGGCTGGGATGCTGGACTTCAAAATTCCTCGGTGACAAACATGGAGACAAGAGTGCATGTGCTTCCATGTTAAGTTTCTCATGCTTGAGTGTTTAAGGCACGTGCATGTACCCTAGAATGGAAATAGGAAAATGCGTCATGAAAAACTCCAGTTACTAATAAGAATAAACTTCCAGTCAGAGCAAGTTTTTTGAAGTGTGTGTGATAAACAAGGTGCTGGGTAATTAACTACCTGGCTCACCAGTACTATCTGTTACCTGCACTGAATGAGGAAGGACTCTATATAAAAATCTTAATTCTGGGATTTACTAACTTTGGAGCACCGTACTTTCTTCCATGACTTTTAAAAAATGTTTTGCATGCAGTAGTTAATCATGCACCATTACTGCTGATCAAGATAGGTTCTCTAGTAAGCTCTGATAATTTATTGCTAGGAGGTCAGTATTTAAACCTGCAAATTGCTGAACCCTCACTTAGAGCCTTTTGAAAACAGTGAGGAAGGGGGTGCCAGGTTAGCATGTCTGTAGTTTGAAATACGTGATCTGGTTCCATTAAAATTAATAGGGCAATTCACATACTTCAGATTGCATTTGTGCCGAAGTGTCAGCAATTTACAAGATACTAGAGATGATAAAATTGGAAAAAAGATGCAAGAGACATAAACAACCCTGAAATGGCTTGATTCAGGTTGCGGTGATATTTTTTTTCTATTTTTCATTGCTGTGTTCCACTGAGGTGCGCTCACTTTTTCACTTTAACCACTTGTTAGTTTTCCTTTGTTGTTTGCGGAAGCCTGGAAGAGCGAGAAACAACCAAAAGCACAGCAGTTGTAGGAGAAAAATAATTTCTTCTTTTATTACAGCAAAGTCCAGAGGCCTCACACAGGATTGTGGTGGCAATGGGCTGTATTCTAGAGCATGTAGCAAAGCAGTCTGTGCCCCAAAAGGCTTCTAGGGTAATTTAAAAGGAAATGCAGTACATATACATAACTAAAGAGAAATACGGTAGCTGTATATACCCCAGAAAAGACCAGATGGTTGCACAAATGTGCTGTGTGCACAGCTTGATTGCTCGAGTCTTTTCTTTTTCATTTATTAGGAATAGATATCAGTGCCTTCCACATCAGTGACAGCTCATTTGCAACTGAAGAATAACTTAATCAGGAAATAGAGAAGGAACACAGAAAATACAGAGGTAAGGGGAGAAGGATTGTCAGCAAACTGAAGAAGCCAGGAATGCAGTAAGAAGGGAGACAAAGCAAGGAGCAAAAACTGTTATAAAACTGGACGTTGAACTTTGATGTATTTGTCAGAATGGGAGTGTTTTGCTCTAAGTTTATTGAACTTAAAAGAAAAAAAATACAATAGAATGGGGTAGCTTGTAAGCCAAAACCAATTTTCTCTGCCTTTCTATCTAGAAAGGTGTTTTCTAAATATATCACTGTTTTGTTTTCAGCATAAGGCTTTGTCATGACCTGCGTCAAAACTCAGAAACAAGTAATATTGTCTAGGAGGTTTTGTGGCTTAGAGTTCACAGCTGTGCCAGCAGCGTGGAGCTATGTTCTTGCCTAGGGCACTCTAACCTGGAAGGAAAAATATTTTTTTTTCTTTTTTTTGAAAAAAGTATAAAGGTAAATCTTCACCTGAATGTCACAGTTCATAGAATCATAGAATAGTGTGGAAGAGACCTTGGGTTGGAAGAATCCTACTTCCCCTGCAATGAGCAAGGACATCTTCAACTAGATCAGGTTGCTCAGATCCTCATCCAACCTGACCTTGAATGTTTCCAGGGATGGGGCATCTACCACCTCTCTGGGAAACCTGTGCCAGTGTCTCACCACCCTCAGCATAAAGTCTCTTCCTTATATCTAGTCTGAATTTAACCTCTTTTAGTTTAAAGCTGTTACCCCTGGTCCTTTTGCAACAGGCACTGCTAAAAAGTTTGTCCCCATCTTTCCTGTAGGCCCCCTTTAAGTACAGAAAGGCTGCCATAAGGCCTCCCCAGAGCCTTCTTTTCTCAAGGCTGAACAAACCCAGGTGTCTCAGCCTGTCCTCATAGGAGAGGTGCTCCGGCCCCCTGATCATCTTTGTGGCCCTCCTCTGGACCCACTCCAACAGGTCCATGTCTTTCCTGTGCTGAGGGCTCCAGAGCTGGATGCGGGACTCCAGGTGGGGTCTCATGAGAGCAGAGTAGAGGGGCAGAACCACCTCCCTCGACCTGCTGGCCACACTTCTTTTGATGCAGCCCAGGATACGGTTGGCTTCCTGGGCTGTGAGGGCATATTGCCGGCTCATGTCCAGCTTTTCATCAGCCAGTACCCCCAAGTTCTTCTCGTCAGGGCTGCTCTCAATCCGTTCATCCCCCAGCCTGTATTCATCCCAGGGATTGTCCTGACCCAGGTGCAGGACCCTGCACTTGTCCTTGCTGAACCTCATGACGTTCACACTGGCCCACTTCTTGAGCCTGTCCAGGTCCCTCTGGGTGGCATCCCATCCCTCAGGCATGTCAACTGCACTGCTCAGCTTGGTGTCATCTGCAAACTTGTTGAGGGTGCACTCAATCCCACTGTCTGTGTCATTAATGAAGATATTGAACAGTACTCGTCCCAATACAGACCCCTAAGGGACACCACTCGTCGCCGATCTCCATCTGGATATTGAGCTGTTGACCACTGCCCTCTGGATGCGACAAGCCAACCAATTCCTCATCCACCAAATAGTCCACCCATCAAATCCGTATGTCTCCAATTTATAGAGAAGGATGTTGTGGGGGGCCATGTCAGAGGCCTTGCAGAAGTCCAGATAGACCACATCCATAGCTCTTCCCCTGTATACTGATATAGTCACTGCATCATAGAAGGCCACTAGGTTGGTCAGGCAAGACTTTTTTGTGGTGAAGCCATGCTGGTTGTCTCGAATCACCTCCCTGTCCTCCATGTGCCGTAGCATAGCTTCTAGGAGAACCTCTTCAATGATCTTCCCAGGCGCAGAGGGGAGACTGACAGGTTGGTAGTTCCCAGGGTCCTTCTTTATGCCCTTTTTAAAAATAGGTGCAATGTTTCCCTTTTCCCAGGCACCGGGGACTTCACCCAACTGCCATGACTTTTCAAATATCACGGAGAGTGTGGCTTGGCAACTACATCAGCCAATTCCCTCAGGACTCTGGAATGCATCTCCCTCAAGTCCCATAGATTTCTGTATGTTCAGGTTCCTCAAGTGGTCATGAACCTAGTCTTTAACGGTGGGAGGGACTTTTCCCCCCGAGTCCCCATCTTGCGATCCATCCACTCAAGAGGTGTGTGGGGAGAGAGGTTGCCAGTGAAGGCTGAGGCAAAAAAGTTGTTGAGTACCTCAGCCTTCTCCTCTTCTGTTGTTACCATTTTGACAGTCATGTTCATCAGGGACAGGGTACGCTTTCTTTGACCTTCCTTTCCTCTCTGACATACTTGTATAAATCCTTCTTCTTTGCCTCCCTTGGCAACTTCAGCTCCAGCTGCACCTTGGCCTTCATGGCCCCATCCCTACACAATTGGGCAATGTCCCTATACTCTTCCCAGGATCCTGTCCCTGCTTCCACTGCCTGTGCATTTCCTTCTTTCCCTTTGGTTTGACCAGCAGGTCTCAACTCAGCCATGCTGGTCTCTTGCCTTCCTTTCCTGATTTTTTACACCTGGGGATCGAGAGCTCTTGCCCTCTGTGGAAAGTGTCCTTAAAGATCTGCCAGCTCTGATCTGCTCTCTTGTCCCTGAGGGTAGTTTCCCAGGGGTACCCACTGGCTGACTCCTTGAACAGCTGGAATTTTACTTTCCTAAAATTCAGGGTCCGGACTTTGCTCTTTGCTTGACCCATATCCCTCAGGACCATGAACTCCACCAGTGTGTGATCACTGCAGCCCAGGCTGACTACAATGTTGATGTCACCAGTTAGACCACTTGTGTTGGTCACCATCAGTACTGCATGTCTGGTGGTGGGGCTGTCTATTATCTATCACAGTTGATGCCAATGCTTCTCAAATAGTAGAAACGCAGAAATTTTTGCCCCCCTTTCTTATCATGGAAGGCAGGTATGCAGATATTTGATCTGCTCTGGGTCAGCATGAGAAGAAACAGGTGGATGAAGCTGGAGAAAGGCTAAGGTAAACTGAATATAAACGGAATGGCTCTTATCAGTAAGGTGTTTCATGTTGCACTAGAGGAAATATTTATCTTTCATTTGGTGGAACATTGCATAGCATGTGACAGAAGACCATCTTTAATCAGGAGAGAGACAGATAAGGGGCTCATTTATACTTCATAAAGGAACAAAGCAGAGACAAGTCCAGCCTAGTGCAGACCCAGAGACTAGGCCCAGAGGTACAGCACTGCAGGGCACTAATCCCACGTGGGGGCATGCAGCATAGCTCTGACTGGACTATTTTTTAGGGTTGTTTGCCTTGCTGCTTCTCCTTCTAGAGGTAACACAGGGCCAGTTTGAGCCCTCGTGCAATAGTGGCTGCATAGACATGTGTGAGGGGACCTTCTCCACCTCTATGCTCTCATTTCAGACCCTTCAGTGGTGCTTATTTGTTTACTCTTTCTGTACTGAGGTATCAATAAGCAGATAAAAAAGAGGATAGAGTAAATAGAGTAGTAAACTTTCTAGGAGTTCCTCAAATTTGGATTTGAAAGACCATCTACTCAGTGGATTCTTACGCATTGTAGAAACATAATATTCAGTGCCCACTGCTGTCTGGGAATCAGCATCTTTCGGTGACTGGCTGGTAGTGGAGCACAGGACAAATGGGAAAGTTTGAGTGATCTGAACTTCATACGAAAAGCATGTATCTGAACCCATAATTTACATTACTTGGTCTTTTTTCTTGTAGTCTCTGACCGTTTCCTTAATGTGCTTGTGATGTATTGTTTTCTGACATTTCTTACCCTGTGGTTTTCAGATGGTGGGCAGGAGAATGGCAGAAATGTTCGACCACATGTGGCCCAACAGGCCAGAAGAAGCGAACTGTTCTTTGCATCCAGACAGTGGGATCTGATGAGCAGGCACTGGCTGTCACAGAGTGCCAGCACCTGCTCAAACCAAAGACCCATCTGTCATGCAACAGAGATGTCTTGTGCCCATCTGACTGGACAGTGAGCAACTGGACTAAGGTAAATTAATGTTAACTGCAATATTGAGTGTTTTTTTCAAAATTACCTATTGTAGTCAGCAGAGAGGACCAATGACCTGCTCTTTTGCCTTTTTTAAAGTTTTTTTTGTTAAGGTGTGTTCACAAATCCCTTGTGCAGAATTTAAAAAGGTGCCCTGCTTGCTAAAGACCTCAGCAAGTGTTGCGTGTTAGCTGTTTCTAGGGGTTTGGCTTGCTGAGCTTTTGGGACCGTAGAATAGAGCATGCTTGCACATTAGAAATCTGTGTAATACTCATTACTGCTGTGGACCAGATGGGAGGAGGCTCTGTGTCATATCTGTAGGCCTACAAAGAAGCATTTTTACATTCTTTACATTCGTATCTCTTGCATTCATAACTCTGCTGTTTTTGCCACAGCTTGCAAGGCTTTTATTTCTAGTATTATTCTGAAGCCCTGACAATCGCTAGAATCCTTCAACAATTAATTAAACATTATGCAGTTATTTCACTGGCAGCTGATGAACAGCAGAATGTGAGGTCATCAAAATGACGACTGAAGTATACTAAATTTATTTAAATATACTGCAACATATTCTGCAGTGTTTATTAGTATTAGTAGGGAGCACTGATTTGATGTGCTTTGTCACAGGTTTTAATCTGTGGAAGGACCTTACACTTCTTAGCTCTTTTTAGATTAGGTTGCTGGTATCTACAGGTGTTTCACAACTTCACTTTCCATTGAAGACAAGGAGAATTCAGGGTCCCAAACATGCAGAGCAGTGTACTTCTCTGTGAAAACTAAAAATGCAATAAGATATTTGTTCTGGAGTGGGGAGAAGTAGGTTTTGAGTCATGTGAAATTTTGAAATTATTTTATTCCGATTCCATTGTAGTACAACTAGCTCATGTTTCACCCCAAAATAGGCAGTTTAGCTACCAGTGTAGCTGACAATCTTGACAACAAATGCACAACAAGTATTTTCCATTTCAGGTGTCAATAGAAATGAGATTTACTAAGTTTTTCAAAACTTCCAAGACCAATTATCTAGATACAGGAGTTGAATGCACCATTAGCAAGTTTGCTGGTGATAGCAAACTGGGAGGTGCTGGTGCTGGCTGAGGACTTTGGGCTCGTCTAGTGTGCAGAAAAGGAGGCTGAGGGGTGATCTCATTGCTCTCTGCAGCTCCCTGAGGAGGGGACTTGCAGAGGGAGGTGCTGAGCTCATCTCCCTGGTACCCAGTGACAGGGCACGTGGGAATGGCTCAAACCTGCGTCATAGGAGGTTTAGACTGGACATTAGGAAGCATTTCTTTACCCAGAGGGTGGTCAGACACTGGAACAGCTTCCTAGAGAGGTGGTCAGTGTCCCAAGCCTGTCAGCCCCTTTACCTTTTGGTCAGCCCTGAACTGCTCATGTAGTTGGACTAGATGATCATTGTAGGTCCCTTCCAACTGAAAATCTCCCCTCCCCTCCCTTCCCCTCCCCCCTTTTTGAAAAATCCTTTTTTTACGAAACTCACTATTGTGTTTGAGAGCAGATTCAGATAATGAACTAACAGAATTTTGTGACAGTATTAATTCAGTTTATGCTGCTCACAAACCATCATTAATGACTGTTGATTGTTTTGTGAATTTAGTAGCCACCACGTTCTAACTGCGTGTGAAAAAATAGAGTGGGATTACATGGCTAGCAGTACAATCGTATAGAAATGGCATGCTGTTACAGAATACAGCTGGTGCTCGTGTTTTGTTGGATTATATGTGCAAATTACTGACAAAAATAAATTGGGGAGGGAGCATAGGACAGACTGTTTCACCTGTACAAATGACAGGATTGTCAGGAGTCTTATAACTGCAGAATGTTCTTTATTGGTGAATGCACCGGAGAGATTTTACACAGGCAAAACTTCCTTTTGCTCTGAGCTTATCTGGCTGTTTGAAAGTAATTCTGTATTTTATAAACAGAACGTACTTAATTAGGCAGATAATGAGGATAGAGTGTTGTAGCCATTCTGAAATCTCTTATTAGTACATGGCCATAACCTAAAGCAGAGATTTTTCAAAGCTAATTCTGGGAGACAGCCATTACCCCGAAAAGTTAATGAGGTTGCATGTTCCTTTTAACTCACACAAATGCTAATATAAATCACTCAAGTGGCAAAGTCTGACAAAATAAGAGTGCTGTATTTCTGTGTAAGCAGCAACATAGTATTAGTAGTTGCTCTCTTCCTCGGTAAGCAAAATCCTTTACTGAGTAACTTCAGAGGTCAAATTGCAGCTGATGTAAACTTGCATAGCTCTGAGTACTCTAAGTGTGCTATACAGCTGGAAGTGCAAGGAGGATAGACAGAATAGCTAATGAACTTATCTACTCCGAGGTTGCTCTGCTTTCTTCTCTGCTCCTGTTGATGCAGAGCTGATGTTATTTTACAGGTATTAGCAACAGAGAGCACCCCAGTAACACAAAGTCACTGGTGTTTCTACTGCCCCATGACCTAGACTAGTTGTAAAAAGGCTTAGATATCCTAAAGGCTTTAAAGCACTGGAAATAGGAGTGTTCTTCACTTCATGTTGAGCGCCTGGTTTAAGCCAGCTGAACTAGCTAGTCAGGCTCCCTTGCATCCTAGGAAGACTTCCTCAAGTAGGTTGCACGTAACATCTCCATTCATACCCAACCAGCCATCCAGCCTTAGTACCTCAAACCAGAGAAGTCTGTCGAAATTTCAGAAGGTCCTCAGTGGAGCGTCAGCTGCTGAAGGCATGGCTGTGCCTATGGGACTGAGGATGAAAAACATCGCAGAAAAACTGGGTCTCCTTAGTTTCCAGCACCCTTAATACACAACAGTGCTCCCATTTAAATAGAAGCCAGATAGGTTAATTACTTTCAGTAGCCTGTCATTTAGGAGAGACATGTTAGCAGCCCTGGCAGCATGCGGTGGTTGCACTAAGACTGAAAAATCCATTTCATAAAGTCAACAACGATCTGTGAGCTGCATGAATAATCACAGTGGGTTTGTAGCACTGTGAGTAGCCAGTAATGAGCCAGTCAGCTATGGTTTTGATGGCAGGCTTTTAGTCCTTTTTTTATAACACTGGTGGAAAAGGTATTGGCTAAACAACTTTTGTGATTCTAGCATATTACTTTTATATTTTGTCTTTATCATGTAGTCTTTTTTCACCGCTCTTTCCCCAAGGTGACATTTACTGTTCTAAAAATTTGGAAAGAGCTCCGTGATAGCGGAACATCACTAGAATGAAGGGCTTGTTCCTCAGGACAAGCTTTGTTATTGATTATTCATAATGATACTTCTTTATTATAAACAGGTGACATTTGATACTTGTTTTTATTGATATGTGGAGTAGAATGAAGAGGGGAGATATATTACTTCTATTTCGTTTGCAGTGCACGGTTACTTGTGGTGGTGGAATAAGGACTCGTAATGTCACTTGTGCCAAAAATAATGATGAGCCATGTGATACTTCCAAGAGACCAAACTCTAAGGCCTTGTGTGGTCTCCAGCAATGTCCTTCTGCTGGAAGATTTCTGATACCTCCCCTGGCACCCAGAAGAGGAAAGATCATAATCAGAAAAACAACTACTAATCCTGAATGGAGCCCTCCTCACAGAATACCCATCCCAAGCCCAACATCCCATACAACAACAAAAATACCCAAGCCTGAAAGTGTAACTCCCTGTTTGCCTACATCCTCTGGTTCAAATAATGTCTCAGAAAAAGAAGGAACAGCGAACAAAACATTACAAAATAATTTTGCTGGACCAAGTGATGTTTACAACTATCCAGTTGTTTCTACTGAAAATAGTTCACACCAAAATACTACTTCATGGCCTTTTCATAATAGTTTAAGTACTGAAATTATAAGGCACACTGAAAATATTTCTGAAAGTGAGTTAGTTTCTACTGTAGAGAGTGAGGTGCAAAGAAGTGAGGACACTCCTGTTTCTTCTTTTACCAGTAGTCCAGAAATAACTTCTAGCTATGATTACTTAACCGAAGAATCTGACGACATTGATGGGTCAGTTGGAGGCAGCGAGAAACCGATTGATCTCCTTTACAGCACAGAACTCAATCTTGAAATCAGAACCAGGAGCACAACCCCAGATACCAGCTCTGCTGTCCTTCAAAATGAGAGCATGACTTCTCAGCACCCCCCAGCATCTCATCATCAAGAACCTTCTACGCTCCTTCCTGTTAGCAGAGCTGCACAAGGGTTGGCATTTCCAACAACAGCAAATTATATCCGTCTGCAAGTTGATGTGCCTGTTGTAGAAGTAACTACCCCACAGGCATCAGTTACGGTAATGCCCACAGTGTTTGGTCATGTACCAAGAGACCAGACTGACAACAGAAGAGAAATGAAGCTGCCTGACACTGTAACCTCCAGCACACAATCATCAGCTCTTGAGCATGCTCTCAGGAACCAAAGTACAACATCTGAGGGTGTTTTAACAAATGTCACAGAGACCAGCCACCTAATAACATCCAACAATTTGCCTGGTGACTCCTACTGGATAGTAGGTAACTGGAGTGAGGTAAGTTATTTTTAACTCATAAGAAGTGGAGAGGCTGAGCAGCTGTCTGAAATGCTGCTGAGGAAATAAAGCTGCTTGTTTGTCACAGTTATCTGAAATGCGTATCATATATTCAAATTAAATACTTCTTACACAAAAAAATTGGTAACCTAGAATATCAAATATTTGATTGTTTTCATGGAATGTGTCTGTGTTTATGGATTCTGCAAAACTATGCATAACTGGACACTGAAATTGTAAGAGAACAGCTGTATCAACTGAATGTTCCCAAGTCTATGGGGCCTGCTGGGTTTCCTCCCAGAGTACAGAAGGAGCTAGCGGATGTTATGGCAGGACCCATCTCAATCCTCTGCCAAAGGTCTTGGGAGTCTGGGGAGGTCCCTGCTGACTGGAAGCTAGCCAGTGTTATTCCAATTTACAAAAAAAGGTGTGAGGGAAAATCCAGGAAACTGCAGACCTGTTAGTCTTACTTCAGTTCCTGGAAAAATTATGAAGAAGATTATACTAGGTACTGTTGAAAGGCATTTAAAGAGTAATGAAGTCATCAGGCACAGTCAGCATCGGTTCACAGAGGGAAAGTCCTGTTTAAGTAATTTCATATCCTGCTGTGTTAAGTGGAGGAAGGGAAGGCAGTGGATGTAGTTCTTCTGGATATTAGTAAGGCTTTTGATACTGTCCCTCAAAGCATCCTTCTGGACAAGTTGCCCAACTGTGTGATGGGCAGGATTACAGTGTGCTGGGTGAAGAACTGGCTGAAGGGCAGGGCTCAAAGTGTTTTAGTGAATGGGGCTACATCTGGCTGGTGACCCGACACCAGTGGTGTTCCTCATAGTTTAATTTTAGAGCCAGGTCCATTCAATATAGTTATCAACAATCTGAATGCAGAAGTTAAATGTACCATTAGGAGGTCCTGTTGACTCCTGAGGGACAAGAGGCCTTGTAGAGGGATCTAGATAGATTGGAGCATCGGGCAGTGATTAATGGGATGAAATGTAACAAGTCCAAATGCCACATTCTGCACCTGGGACGGAGTAATGCCAGACATAAGTATAGATTGTTAGAGGAGTGGCTGGAGAGCAGCCCTGCCAAAAGGGCTCTGGGGGTGCTGGTCGACAGCAGGCTCCATGTGAGCCAGCAGTGTGCCCTGGCAGCCGAGAGGGCAAACTGCATCCCGGGGTGCATCAAGCACAGCACAACCTGCCGGTCAAAAGGGGGGATTATCCCGCTGAGTTCCGTGTTGGTAGAGCAGCTGAGGACTTCGGCTTGTCTAGTTTTGAGGAAAGGAGGCTGAGGGGTGACCTCATTGCTCTCTGCAGTTTCCTGAAGAGGGAGGTGCTGAGCGTTTCTCCCTGGTACCCAGTGACAGGGCACGTGGGAATGATTCAAAGCTACACCAGGGGAGGTTTAGACTGGACATTAGGAAGCATTTCTTTACCCAGAGGGTGGTCAGACACTGGAACAGGCTTCCTAGAGAGGTGGTCGATGCCCCAAGCTTGTCAGTGTTTCAGAGACATTTGGACAATGTCCTTAACTACACACTTTACCTTTTGGTCAGCCCTGAATTGCTCATGTAGTTGGACTAGATGATCATTGTAGGTTCCTTGCTACTGAAATACTCTATTCTATTGTATTCTATAACTCTTCCAGGGGCATGACATTCAGGTTTGATTATAGCCAGAAATATCTCAAGAGTTTTGTTTTAGAGCACAGCAAAAAAATAAGCTATTAGATGAATCCTGGGGACACTAAATTAATATGCTTGTATTTCTAAATAAGAACATAACGCAAGTTAGCTGTAGATGTTCTATTATAACCTTCACTTAAACATAATTTCTCTCTAAATTATGTGTGTTTTCTAGCTTAGTATGTGACCAGGGCCATGTAGGTAGGATAGCTTTATTAATGTATAAAGCACATTAATACCATGGATACTTAAACAGATTTTCACTTGACTATTAGCATAAGAGATTTTTGTGGTGCAATTCTATGTCATCCCACCATCAGTGTTTGTATCCACCATTAAGCAAATGCCTCCAAACTCTGAGCGGCATTCAGCCTGGTAAAACCAGGCTACAAAGCAATGTCAAGAATATTAGTCCAAAGTTAAACTGTTATATTGGGGGTTCGTAATTTCTCCAGCACATATCCATGGGGAGACATTGTAATGTGTGTTTCTACACCTTTGAAGTTTAGGTGATTGTGTATTGGAACTGGGTTGTAGGGGTGGTAAAGTAAAAGCATTTTGGTTGGCATAGAAATTAAAATTGTCAGGCCAGTGGTTGTGGTTGTACAGCATTCTTTGGATACAGCAGCTGATAATTACAGTGTTATACTGTGTCTTGTTTGAATGTAGATATGGACAGTTGTTTTATCTGTGCCAAAATGAACTGTAGAAATTAAAAAGGTAATGAAATTCAATCAGAACAGGTGTTAACATTCTGTAATACTCACTTTCAAAAGTCCTTCCTTTCTGTTTGACTAAGTGAAAGAAGTACAGCTTACAGGGAGTTTGAAAACTCCTTTGAGGTGTAAAGCATTTGGAAGATACTTGGTCTGAGAGGTGATGACTTGTCCTAGTTTCCCCTGATGCCTGGTCATTACTGAATGGTTATAATACTTCTACTTTCTGTGCAGAAGCAATATAGATTGCGAAGTTTTCTGTGGCCTCAGAAAAGTCCTTACAATTTTTTTTGGATATTGCTATTGACTTTTCCTTACCAATACCCAGCACCAGTTTTTTTGACAGTTAGGTCTCTGTGCTGTTGCCATGCTGTGTCCTGAGACAGTAGTTACTGTGGGGTCAGGGCTGGTGAGGGGAAAGCCACCCAATTCTAGCAACTGTAATACGACAATATAGTCATCAGGCATCCTACTCACATTTGACAAACATCTATTTAATATCCTTCCCACTGTAAAATTTTGCTTTTATGTAAACAGAGTTATTTTTATGCTAATGGATGTTATATTCTCCAAGTCAAGATACTTAGTGTGAGACACTATGGTGTCTGAACAAGTTACTGCATTTTTCTGATGGCCTTTTTTAATCAAGCTAATCAGTACAGCCAAGGGTCCAGATCTGGAAACCTCCTTGTGCTGATCTGCCTCTGTGTCTCTGTATTGATAGAGAAGGCTATCAAAGGTCTGTTTCTCTGTACCTGTTTACTCTCAGGTCTGCCTGGCATGATGCAAATTGATGGAAATGCAGAAATGTAGGGCTAAAAAGGGCAGAAGAGATGACTTAGTTTATCTAATGGCAGTGGAGTTAAAGCACAGCTAGATCACCAAGATCCTGTTGGTACCCTCTGTCTGGATGCAGCCAGTGGGTAGGACCTGCTCTGTCACCACCACATTAGCAATTGTTCAAGACATGCGCTCCTAATGACTGTCTGAACTTTCGTCTTGTGCCTTCCCATGGCCAGCTGAGAATGGTTTTAGCTCCCCATGTTCAGCATATGTTTGCATATGTTTTTGAATTTCAGGTTACTGTTTTCTTACAATTTTTGAACTTGGCAAGATGTTTTTGAATTCAGATTGAATTCAACATTCCTGCCAACTCTTCCAACTTGGCATCATCTACAAATGTTATAAGTGTGTGCTGGTTTCATCATTCAATTAGTTAATGAAAATACTGAAGAGAGCTTGGCTCTGGACAGAGCCCTGCAGGACCATATTTGACATTTCTTTTCATTTTGACACTGAATCACTGAGGACCACTTTATTACAGTTTTTAAGTTAGCTGTGCACCAATCTTGTAATTATTTCACCTAGACCATATTTCCATCCTTTGCTAAAATGCTAGGTGAGATCATGCCAAAATGCATCACATGAGCTGGCTCTCTATTTTCATTACTCCATGACCCCCTGTCAGAGAAGGATATTAGATTGACTTGAATAATTTGTTCTAGTTAGATCCATGTGGGCTATTTAATTGCTTTATGATCTTTGTTAGTATTTACCATTTGGTCTTGATTGTTTAATAACTTGCTTTTGTATCTTCTTGTGAAGTAAAGTTAGGTGAAGTGTTCCCTTAAGATCCACCTTTTTCTTTCCCT